TCTGAGTCAGCCAGGCACCCCTGAATAAAGGGAGTTGTTTTTTTTTTAAGTTGGCTCCATGCCCATGTGGGGCTTGAACTCAAGACCCTGAAATCAAGAGTGGCATGTTCTCCTGACTAAGCCAGCCAAGCGCCCCTTAGATATTTTAAAATAACAGCTTATCGACTTAGACAAGCCAATGCGGTGTTTTCCCTTAGTTCTGGGACAATATTCAAAACATATATTCAGATAAAATATCTGTGCTACTTCTGGAGAGAAGAGGAAATGAAGACAAAATTCTAGGAGGAAAGTATTAACATTTCTGGGCCATTCCAACAGTTTGTAGTAGTGATTTTCATTTAGGGGCACAAAGCTAAGTCACCTGCAGAAATTTTGGAGAAGACACTGCTGAACTTCACTTCTGGAAAATTTAAATGCAGGTCTGGGAGTAAGGTCTGGGCACTGTATTCTCTTTCAAAATCGTTTTGGCAATTCTGGGTCCATTTCCTTTAGGAGCAGTTGTCAGTTTCTGCAAAAAGCCAACTGGGATTTTGATAGACTGCATTAAATCTGTAAATCAATAATATTAAGTATTGTCATCTTAATGATATTAAGTCTTCTGATCCATGACCATAGATGTCTCTATTTTAATTACCTTTAAGAATATCTTTATTCTTGATTTCCATTCAACAATGCCTATGTTTTTCATAGTACGAGACTTGCACCTCTTCTGTTAAATTTATCCCTAAGTATTTTATTACTTATATTGTAAATGAAATTGTTTAATTTCCTTTTCAATTGTTCATATATAGAAAAACAATTGATTTTTGCTCCTGACCTCGTACCCTACAATCTTACTGAACTCATTTATTCGTTCCAATAGCTTTTTAGTTACCCCATAGGATTTTCTATACACAGGATTATGTCATCTGTAAACAAGGGATAGTTTTACTTTTTCAGCCTCACTATCTGGATGTCCCTTATTTCTTTTTTTCATCTAACTGCCCTGGCTAGAATATCCAGTATAATGCTAAACAGAAGTGGCATCAACTGTGTGTTACTACAATAGATTTCAAATAGCTAAAGCAATCTTGAGAAAGAAGAGGAAAGCTGGAGGCATCGTGCTCCCTGATTTCAAACTATATATAAAGATGCGGTAATAAATAAAAGTATGTGGAACAAGGGAACCTTTGTGCATGGTTGATGGAAATGTAAATTGGTACAGCCACTATGAAGAACAGCGTGGAGGTCTTCAAAAAATTAAAAATAGAACTATCAGGACACCTGGGTGGCTCAGTTGGTTAAGCATCCACCTCTTGGTTTTGGCTCAGGTTATGATGTCAGGGTCGTGAGATCACACCCCGCATTGGCACAGTGCTCTGTGGGGAGTCTCCCTCTTCCTCTGCCCCTCCCCCCACTCATAGGCACTCTGTCTCTCAAATAAATAAATAAATCTTTAAAAAATATTAAAAATAGCACTACCATATGATCCAGCAATGATCCACTTCTGAGTATTTCTCCAAGAGATGAAATCACTATCTTGAAGAGATAATATTTGCACTCCTATGTTTATTGCAGCATTATTCACAATAGCCAAGATATGGAAACACTCTTAAGTATGCACTGAGAGATGAATGGAAAACGAAAATGTGGTGTATTTATTAAATGGAATATTATTCAGCTATAAAAAAGAAGAGAAACCTACCATTTGTGACATGAGTAAATCCTGAGATTATTACAGTAAGTGAAGTAAGCCAGACAAATATTATATTATCTCACTTATGTGTGGAGTCTCAAACTCTTGTAAACAGAGTAGCATGGTGGTTGCCAGGGGTTGAGTGGTGAGGGAAATGGGAAATTCCTGGTCAAAAGGTACTACCTTTCAGTTATAAGATGAGTAAGTTCCAGGGATCTAATGTACAGCATGGGGACTATAGTTAATACAGTACTGTATACCTGAAAGTTGCATTGAGAGTAAATTTTAAATGTTCTTATCACCACAACCACAACCAAATTATAATTATTTGACATGAAGAACACTAACTGGGGTAAGCATTTTGCAGTATATGTGTATCGAATGATCATTGTACACTTTAAACTATACAATGTTATATAGGTATACCTTATTTTATTGCCCCCCTTTATTGCATTTCCCAGAGAGTGTGTTCCTTACAAATTGAAGGTTTATGGCAATCCTGTGTCGAGCAAGTCTATCGGCATCATTTTTCCAACAGCTCACTTTGTGTCTCTATCACATTTTGGTAATTGTGACAGTATTGCAAACTTTTCCATTATTACTGTATTTGTTATGGTGAACTCCCTTTTTATCACTTTCTGCTCACTTCTCCACACATTCCAATTCGGATTTTATCCACAGTTGTAATTGCTTGTGTAAAGTCACCAATGACTTCTATTACCCTGAATGCTTAGGACATTTTTCTGTCCTTATCTGATTTCCCCAAACATTCCCCTGTTGTACCATGTCTCCTTCAAACATTCCTTGACTTCTGTGAAATCCCACTGTCTAGATTTTCCCATTTCTCGTTTTGCTCATTCATCAATTTCTCCTATCAGTTCTTCCAGCTCTACCTAAACATTAAATATTGGAAGAGATTCTGGGACTGTCCTGGTCACCAATTCTCTTTGTACTGTATTCTTTCCCTGAGCAATTTCATCTCTTCGTATGGCTTCATCTATCATCTGTGGTTGACAAAGTCAAATTCAGTCTCCACTGTGGCTCTTGCTTCTGTTCTATGGACTTAACTCCAACTGACTATCCCACACCTCCACCTGCGTATCTCACAGAAATCTCAAACTCACCATGTCCAAAACTTATTTCACTATCTTTTCACCTTACCTACCACCGCTGCCCTCATTTTTCCTTTAGTACTATTTAACTTGGTAAATGTACTATGCTTTACTCAGTTGCTAAGCCAGAAAACCTAGAGATCTTTGACTTTTTCCTCTTCCGCATTCCCAAAGACCAAACAGTAAAATTCTGCCTTTTCTATCTTTAAAATATCTTCTGATTTGTATTAGTTTCCTAGGACTACCATAACAAAATGCCACAAACTGGATGGCTTAGCAGAAATGTATTTTCTCACGGTTCTGGAGACCAGAAGTCCAAAATCAAGGTGTTAGCAGGGTTGGTTCCTTTTGGGGACTCTGAAGATCTCATCCGTGCCTCTCAAAGCTTCTGGTAGTTACTGGCAATCCCTGGCATTCTTTGGCTTCTTGCTGCATCATTCCAATCTCTGCCTCTGTTGTCATTTGGCCTTCTTCCCCCACATTTCTGTATCTCTCTCTTTATATGGACACCTCATTGCATCTAAGGCCATCCTAATCCAGTGTGACCTTATCTTGACTTGATTATACCTGCAAAGACGCTATTTCCAAATAAGGTCACCTACATGGTACCAAGGGTTAGGACTTCAATGTATCTTTTGGGGGGACACAATTCAACCCCCACATACCTTCTACTTTTCTGTATAGTATAGTAGTGAGGAGATGAACTTCTGAGTCAGAATGCCTAAGGTGGTGAATCCTAGCTCTGCCACTTTCTAGTTGTGTGATCATAGCAAAGTTACCTACTCTCTTTTGTACTTCTGGTTTCCCATCTGTAAACTGGGGATGAAAACAGTACCTATCTCATAGGGTTGTTGTGAGGGTTATACAAGTTAATATATGTAAAGCACTTGATACAGATCCTGGTATGTGGTGGTAAGTGTTAGTTATTGTTAATTATACCAACTCAGCTGATGTGATACCCACCATTTCTACTTGACCTGTTTGGAATGGTGCTTCCCACACCCACTATTCTACCCTTCCAATCTGTTCTCCACACTGTAGTAAGGCTCTTGCAAATAATACAAATCTGGTCATGTCACTGCCCTGCTTAAAACCTTAAAACCTCGTTTTTCACCTGCCCCAATTTTCACAAGAGCTCTTACTCCTCATCCTCCCAACCCTTCACCTAATTAATGTTTACTTACTTATAGATTTTGGGTTAAACACACTTCCTCCACAACGCTTTCAAAGATTCACAAGCTAGTGTTTCTCTGCACTTCTCTTTCATAATATTCTGCATACTTGTCATTGTTACTTATTTATTTTTTACTTAACTTCCATTAGAAGGACAAGTGACTCCTGTAACCTCAGCTCCTAATTACATGGGCTCGGCACATAATTTGTGCTCAATAAATCTGAAGGAATAAATGAAATGAATCAATCTTGCTCATGGGTTTGGGCTTCACTCACAGACATACCTGGCGTGCTTATAAATGATGGTATATTTTGTATATTAGGCATACTTGCACAGACAAATGATGCACATCATGCAGTATCCTGTTTTAATTTTGCCTCATACAGCAAGAAGTGGCCCGCCCAGGATGACACAGAAATCGCCTTATTCTGTGGTATGACAGGCATTAACTGTGTCTTCATCTCGGTATTCTTAGATTCTAGCCTGGCACACTGTAGACACCCAATAAAATGTGCTGAATAAACTTTTCTTGGAACGTGGGTGTCTGGATGCCATGATAATCCCAGTACCTTCCCTTTCCTCCTAGCCTCATACACCAGGAACCCCTATGGTCCTCCATCAGTTCATTCTTCTAATTACCCAGGCTCCAAAATGAGCCACGCCCCTCCCTCTGTAACTAAAACCTCAGACCCCAAGTTTCTGACCATTAAAAGCGATCACAAAAGGAGCGCATTAAATTACTAAACTAATCGCAGGCAGAGGCTTCCCTGGCTCTTCTCTGTACCCCTTCCCATCCCCAACTCCCGGGGTCCCGCACATAGGAGACATCTGTTAAATAATCTTCGTCCCGCTGTTGAGCTCAAACTCGGTGAGACGGGAAGTGGCTCTGCTTCTTCCCTCCAAGGAATCGCTGCAAGAGTCGAGCCCTCGGCCTCCCGTTGGTCGCGGCCCAGGGTGTCCCCTCCCGCGGCCCGCTTGGGCTCAGCGCCCCCGGGGATCCGCCGCCGCCCCCTCAGCCCTGCCCCGCGGTCCCACTCACTGTTCTTGAGGAAGCGCTCCTCGTGCAGCACGGCGATGGCATTGACGCAGAGCAGGGCCGCCTGCAGCAGCGAATACAACGTAAAGGCCATGGCCGCCCGGAGCCGCCCCGAGGCCCAACTGATCTTTCTCCCGCCGCCGCAGGGGACGTGGCGCCGCTACGGCCGGCGCTCTCCTACGGGAGCCGGGGAGGCCCCAAACACGCTCTCCCAGAAGCTCCGCCCCGATCTGTCTAGGACCCGCCCCGCGCTTACGTCAGCAGGGCGCATGTGATCGACGGTCTAGACCTGTGCGGTCCGGTGCAGTAGTCAGCCACGTGAGGCTGCTGAAAGCCGGAAATGTGGCCGGTCGCAGTTGAGGTGCTGTAAAGTGTGAGACTGTACACGACGGATTTCAAAGACTTAGGACGAAAACAACGTAAAATCTCCCATTAATTTTTTAAATGTTGATTACATGTTGGAATGTTGATTACATGTTGAAATACATTCAAAATATATTAGGTAAATAAAATGAATTAGGAACATAACTTTTACTGTAGGGGCGCCTGGGTGGCTCAGTCCTGTAAGCGTGTGCCTTTGGCTGGGGTCATGATTCCGGGGTCCTGGGATCAGACCGGAATCTGGCTCCCTGCTCAGCGGGGAGACTGCTTCTCCCTCTCCCTCTGCTGTTGTCCCTGCTTGTGCTCGCTCATAAATAAAATCTTTAAAAAAAAAAATTAACTTTTACTGTTTACTTCTACTTTTTTTTTTTTAAAGATTTTATTTATTTGACAGAGCGATAGCAAGAGCAGGAACACAAGCAGGGGGAGTGGGAGAGGGAGAAGCAGGCTTCCTGCTGAGTAGGGAGCCCGAAGTGAGGCTCCATCCCAGGACCCTGGGATCATGACCTGAGCCGAAGGCAGATTTATCAGGCTCTGTGCTCGGCGGGAAGCCTGCTTCTCCCTCTCCCACTCTCCGTGCTTATGTTCCCTCTCTCGCTGTCTCTCTCTCTGTCAAATAAATAAATCTTTTAAAAAAATGTAATCATCAGAAAGAATAGGGCCTCTGTTTCCCAGTGTCTGTGGGAGGGTAGAATCCTAATTTTGATAATTGTCAGCTCATCGTCTTAACTGGCCAGTCAACATTTACACTGACCACCCCTCTGTAATTTTTCACTTCTCTGACCCTACTGAGCCCCTGTTTACCTCCCTTTCTTCTCCCTTTAAAATGCCCAGTCACCTCTGTACAAATTGAAATTGAGGTCAGTTTGCATTTGACCCTCTTGCTTATTGCAATGGTATATTACAGATTAAAATCTGTCTTTACCATTGTAACTGGTGTCTAGCTTTGTTTATCTTTGACTGAGGGCAGCAGTAAGAGGCTGAGCCTGATTATGTTGAATTTTAGATATTGTTGAGGCCAAGTATGCAAATTAGTCACCTTCTGAACTTCTCATGGTCCCCTAAAATAGAAAATAGAAAAGCAGCACATTAGTCCCAGAAAGGACTTTGGAGGCCCATGTGCTTGTTGCTGTGGCTGCTGCTGGAAGAGACACTAGCCAAAAAAAAAAAAAGAATAATTAGTTAATCTTCTAAGAAGAAATTAGGCTTAAATAGGCCAACTAGTTAGTACCTACAGGGAAGAAGAGATGTATTATTTCCCACAGACATACATAAACACTACCTCCATAATCGGCCCTAAATGCAAATCAGGTAGGGAGAGACCGGGAAGTTAAAGTAAAGGAAATAAAAGAAACAACAAAATACCAACAAATCCTCCAGTTTTTCTAGGTCCACAAAACTCTAGACTCTGGTGATAGAGAAGGAAGGTTGTTCCTGTAAGTGGACGGTGACCAATCCAGGATTGCTACCCTGGGCTGGGAGAGGGGAGAGGGCACCCAGGGGCCCTTGTCGGGCAGCTTTGGTTGAACAGTGAATAACAGTTTTTACTAGCTTGTATATTTACTGAGGAGGGAGTAATGGGGGGGAGTCTGGAGATTATGGGGATAGATGCGGAAGAGGTGGGGTAAAGCCTCTCACAGTTACCTCTTTGTGTCACTTGCCCCTGGGTCACAATTCACTTGATTCATTTCATTTATTTTCAAAAGAATCAGGTTAACCTCTCTGGGCCTCTGTTACTTCATCTATAAAATTAGGTGATTATGATCTCTAAGGCTCCTTCAGCCCCCAAAATCTCTAGATCTAGCAAAAGCAGCTTAAAATATAAGATAGTGTACGAATACTAGTACCACATTATCTGATCCACTATTTTTCAAAAATCCAGGCTTGTAGACTAAGCTGATAATAGCAGATTATATTTTTTAAAAGAATTGTTCCTTGAAAAAAAAAAAAATTGTTCCTCGGATGTCCTTACTTCCAAAAAAATTTAAAAGCCTGGAATTTTAAAAATATATTTATTAAACAGTTGTCTCAGTTTAGAAAAAAATCTTTCCCCAAACAAAGAAATGGGTAAAATGCATATTCTGTATCTTAGTAGCTTGGGGGGGAAAAAAAACCCAACTGGGCATAGCCTATTTAAAATTAGAACTTGCTGCATGGTGCTGAGCTTTTGATGTCAGTGTGGTACGTTTTCATGCATTCATGTTAGATATCTTACCAGACGCTGCTGTTGAGCAGTTTTCAATTTCACATACAGATGTCTCCTTATCATTTGCTTCAAGTTGTGTTTTTTTGTCTTCAGACTGTTAGATGGCACACTTTGGCATCTTGGACCATCTTGCCACAGACTTTCTTTGTAACTGGTACTATGGAATCAATATCTTCATTCCTATAACAAAAATCAAAGAATGAATGCCTTCAGTAAAGTTCCTTTAGGCAAGGGGGAGCAATGGTTAAGATGATGTCTAGGGTAACCTTTATGTTTGGCCTCTGATTAGATGTGGGGGGCAGGGTAGATGTAGAATTCAAACTTACCTTTTAAAGGTAAGTGCTCCAGGATGGACTTAGTCCCTGGACTTAGGAGAAACTGCATTATTGAACTCAATTTTTACCCTTCCATGTACCAGCGCCTTTGCCTTTTCATTTGACTGATCCTTGACTTTGGGTTCAGCTCTATGACTTGCTCTGGCCAATAGAATAAGAAGGAAGAAATGCTGGGCCAGCTCTGAGCCTAGAAATCAAAAGCCCTTATATGTTTCTTTTTTTTTTTTTTTAAGATTTTTTATTTATTTATTTGACAGAGAGAGATAGTAAGAACAGGAACACAAGCGGGGGGCGGGGGGTGGGAGAGGGAGAAGCAGGCTTCCCACCGAGCAGGGAGCCTGAAGCGGGGCTCCATCCCAGGACCCCAGGACCATGACCTGAGCTGAAAGCAGATGCTTAATGACTGACCCACCCAGGTGACCCAGCCTTATATGTTTCTTTGTTGTGCCTCTGACATTGCCATGGGGCAGGGGGGAGTTCAAACAACAACTACGCCTGAGCCAGTCCACTGGTTCTAGGAGAAGGATGAAAGATACTTAAAGCAGAACCAAATTGCCCCACAGACGACCAGCCTAGATCAGCAAACACTTAACCAAGTACAGATCCATGAGAACAGATGATTGTTGTTTTAAGTCACTGAATTTTGGGATTGTTTGTTCCACAGTATTTTTGAAGCAACAGATTTCTACTCACACTCCCTTGGTGATCTAATTTATTCTAACAGCTTGACAACATCTGTATACTCTGAAGACTTCCAAATTTATATCTCCTACCCAGAACTCACTCATGAACTCTTGGCTGATATTTCCAGCTGACTATCACTTGGGGGTCTGATAGACATCTCAAACTTTCCTTGCCCAAAACTGAATTCCTGATTTCCCTCTGAAACCCACTTCTCTCGCAGTCATCCATTTCCGTTCATGGCAGCGCTGTCCTTCCAGTGGTTCAAGAAAAAATCCTTGGATTGTCCTTCACTCTCTTTGTCTCATACTCTAAATATAGTCTATCAGCAAATTCTTTTGACTTTAACTTCAATATATCTCCAAATCTGACTACTTCTCATCTTCTCTACCACCAAAACCCTGGTGCAAGCCACCATCATCTCTTGGATAAATTAGCACAGTAGCTACTAACCGGTCTCCATGGTTTTTGCTTCCCCTCAGTTTATTCTCCCCAGAGCAGCCCAAGTACTCTTTCAAAGTTAAGTAAGGAAAGTAATTTATTTGTTGAGAGAACTGGGTCATTTGTCCTGTAGAACTTCCCACATTCTGAATTTTGCAGATTGTATCCCCATGGTCCTGGCTGACTTAAATATTATGCACAATACCTGAGTCATCTGTAACAAAATGAAAACACTTGATTGAAGAAAACAGTCACTATTGAAACTGACTAAAACTTTTCACTCACTCAGTGGATAATATCAGGTATGTGGTAAAGAAAAAATGTTTGCAAGTCAGTTCTTAGCATAAGCCTACAATAAATGTGCTAGCTGTTCTCTTCGCATTCCTATTTTTAAATCTCAGCATTTCTATTCCTGTGTTCATTAAAAACTAGTTCACGAAGATAAGGATTATGTATGTTATTTATCAAAAATTTAGACTCACCTTGAAGAATGATAAAAATGGATTATTAGTTTTTAACATTTTTGTCCTGCTATATTTTAGTAGATATATTTATTTTATTGTCTGTCTGAGATATGAATCAATGATGACTGAGGTATGTTTGCTTTTAATCTTGTTATTTACAATGACAACCTTGAGTTTAAATGGGTTTATGGCAGCAGAATTCACCTAAATGGGTTCTATTTGAGGTAAGCATTGGACTAAAATAGGAAAATCCCACAAGAAGAGCCTCATTCATGTTTATGGATTCATACAAGCTATTCCTGGTATGAGACTCAAATGAAACCATTTACAAGCTGAAAGCTTGTGCATTATGAAGTGTTTCTGGAAATAGGGCTCTTGGAAATGGAAAGTTTCCTTAAAAAATAAAAGTGAGTCACTGTATCTATTTTTAAAGGGAATTAATTCTGAATGGCTACATATAGCTGACTAGTTTTATTTAAAAAAAACAACAAGAAACCTACTGAGTAAATAAAAGCAGAATAAGATACTAGAGAAACTACTTACTCAAATGCCTATCATTCCTTCACTCACTCATCCCTTTGTTCATTCTGTCACTCAAGGAGTATTTATTGAACTTCTAAGCCATGCTTTACATTGTTCAAGGGGCTGGGTGAAGTGCAGTAGGCTAAGCACAAAGAACCTTCAGACATGCTCTTGCTC